GTGATGTCGCTTGTTGCATCTACCACAGTTATAATTACTTATACATTTTTTGACCTCATGACCAACCGTAAGACAGTTAATACAACAATTGAAGCGCTTGAGAACTGAAAATGGACCACCTGTCGGTAATTTTTTGAATTCTGGACCAAAACGCAAGGGATGAACCAGTTTAGGACAAAGAACACAAGATTTGAACGAAGAGGCATTGAATGAACCAGAAGGGATAGATTTTGTGAAATGTGAACGAACCTTCCTTTCAACTTTTTTTGAGGAATCTATACCGCGAATATCTCGAAGGCATGTAAGTGTTTGAATCCTTTCCGTAAGAAAATGATTCAAATCTCTCCAAGCCGACAATGCCGATTTGTCTTTGACCGTCTGTTCCCATAGTAAGACGGTGTGCTTAGGCAATCTTTGGATACATATAAAGACCAGCATGGGATCCCAGTCGCTCGTGGAAACGTCATAGATCGCCATAGCGGAAATACATCCATTTATTGCTGGTTGAATATTCTTCAAGCCAGTACTGGAATCATTGTCGAGAATTGGAAGATCAAAGAGCAATTTAAGTTGGTTGTTAAACAAGATTCGGACATTGTCAGACGTCTCTTTTAAAGCTTGCCAAGCTAAAGTGAAACTTTTGTGCGTCAAAGGAAACTTAGATATTATATCTTTAGCTTCACCACTTTTTTTACAAGAGAGCAAATTTGTGAAAATTTCTCCATTGGAATTTATGACCCGAATAAATGCTACCCCCGCGTATGCCTTTTCTGACCCATCAGAAAAGACATGAAGTTCGGTTTGACAATGAGGAGAATATTGAATCCAACGAGTAATGGAAATAGAATTTACGCCCTCATATGATTCAACAAATTTGTTCCATTCGCGTTCTGTCGAAGACGGAAGCGAATCGTCCCAATCAATGTTATCGAGCCAAATGCGAATAAATGCTACCCCCGCGTATGCCTTTTCTGACCCATCAGAAAAGACATGAAGTTCGGTTTGACAATGAGGAGAATATTGAATCCAACGAGTAATGGAAATAGAATTTACGCCCTCTTATGATTCAACAAATTTGTTCCATTCGCGTTCTGTCGAAGACGGAAGCGAATCGTCCCAATCAATGTTATCGAGCCAAATGCGTTGCATGATTATTTTTGCCAAAATTATTATAGGCCCTAACCATCCTACTGGATCGAATAATTTAGCGATGGTTAACAAAACTTTCCGTTTAGTGTATTTGGACCGTTATTCCAGTGACTTTACACTGAAAGAGAACTGATCCAGCTGGGCATACCAAAGAATACCAAGTGGTTTGGAACTACTCGCTTCCACGAAAGTTAGAAGTTTGGCATCGTCCATTTCCTTAATTCGAATTGGGCGGAAGAAAGAGCACTGACTAGTTGGTCTCTTGACTGTTGCGCTGTCTCTATATCGTGATAACCGGCTAAAACGTCATCTACGTACATGCACTTTCGAAAACTATGTGCCGCTAAAGGAAAATCATTCTCTGTATCCTCGGCTAGTTGAAGCAAAGTCCTTATCGCAAGATATGGAGCACAGTTTACTCCGAAGGTAACGGTTTGCAGTTCGAAATCTTGAACCGATTTGATGGGAGAATCACGAAAGATTATTCTTTGGAGTGGAGTCTGAGCAGGATCAACTCTAATTTGCCTGTACATTTGCGTTATGTCGCAATTAAAGACATATTTGAAGAGTCTCCATCTTAGAATAAGAAGGACTAAATCCAACTGAAGAGTTGGACCAACATAATGTATGTCATTCAGACTATTTCCATTGGAGGTCTTATTTGAGGCACTGAAAACCACCCTCAATTTTGTTGTTGGTTTCTCCGGATTTATAACCGGGTGTTGAGGTAGGTAACAAACCGTAAAGTTTGCTGGAGAAGTTGAAACTATTTTCATGTGGTTTAATGTTAAATATTCCCGAACCACCCCATCGTAAATTTCTTTAATGTGGTTTTCGTAACAGAGATGCCTCGTTACGCAAGAATTGACGTAAACAATTTGTTCTTGAATGACCAAGTTGTCCTGCACATTCTGGAATAATGGGAAGTGTGACAATATATCTGTCATCTGAGTCCCGACGAGTGGTTTGTTTAAAGTTTTCTTCACAGAATTTGTCAGAAGGAGACAGTATGGCGTGCTTTGGAGGTTCTTCCAATTCCCAAAAACGAAGAAGCATCTGACTAATGTCTTTTTCTGGATAATTAATAGTGGTTGTTAAAACCGTAATATTGGGAGTGGGAATAGGACCAGTAATGATCCATCCAAAAACGGTTTTTTGTGCCATTAATGAACCCAAAATGTTTGATTGAATTCCTTGTAAAAGAATTCTGGGATATAAATCAGCGCTAAGTAAAAGGTCAACAGATCTTGAATGGAAGAAGTTTTTATCAGCCAAACGAATATTTGGCAAACTGGAAATTAAATCAACGCCAATTGAAAATGATGGTAGATTATCAGAAATAGCGGGTACCACTAAAGCCTGTATTTCCATAAGTATGGACGTATCGATTGGAGAACCTATACATAGAGAACATGCTTTATGTGAAGCTGTGGACATACTTTGGTTTATGCCAGATATCGTAGCCTTAGTTGGAATGGTAGAAATACCTAAACGAAGTTGTAAATTTTCAGTTATAAAGGATGCTTCAGAAGCTGGGTCAATTAGGGAACGAGCGGGATATGTGATGCCTTGATGAATTATATGCACCTTCGCTGTACCCAAAAAAACATTTCTATTTTGCGAAACATGATACACTTGCCTATTAACAGAGTGAGATATCCCTGACGAAGTCGAAGGAATATCTGGATTTACATGATTGGATGGCGCAGAGGGTGGATTTGAAGTCGACTGCGACGACGTCGTAAGCTGAGCGGAGTTTGCAAAATTGGACCCCTCACGATGGGAGTGATGTCGCTTGTTGCATCTACCACAGTTATAATTACTTATACATTTTTGACCTCATGACCAACCGTAAGACAGTTAATACAACAATTGAAGCGCTTGAGAACTGAAAATCGACCACCTGTCGGTAATTTTTTGAATTCTGGACAAAAACGCAAGGGATGAACTAGTTTAGGACAAAGAACACAAGATTTTAACGAAGAGGCATTGAATGAACCAGAAGGGATAGATTTTGTGAAATGTGAACGAACCTTCCTTTCAACTTTTTTTTAGGAATCTATACCGCGAATATCTCGAAGGCATGTAAGTGTTTGAATCCTTTCCGTAAGAAAATGATTCAAATCTTTCCAAGTGAGACGGTGTGCATAGGCAATCTTTGGATACATATAAAGACTAGTATGGGATCCCAGTCGCTCGTGGAAACGCCATAGATCGCCATAGCGGAAATACATCCATTTATTGCTCGTTGAATATTCTTCAAGCCAGTACTGGACTCATTGTCGAGAATTGGAAGATCAAAGAGCAATATAAGTTGGTTGTTAACCAAGATTCGGACATTGTCAGACGTCTCTTTTAAAGCTTGCCAAGCTAAAGTGAAACTTTTGTGCGTCAAAGGAAACTTAGATATTATATCTTTAGCTTCACCACTTTTTTTACAAGAGAGCAAATTTGTGAAAATTTCTCCATTGGAAATTATGACCCGAATAAATGCTACCCCCGCGTATGCCTTTTTTGACGCATCAGAAAAGACATGAAGTTCGGGTTGACAATGAGGAGAATATTGAATCCAACGAGTAATGGAAATAGAATTTACGCCCTCATATGATTCAACAAATTTGTTCCATTCGCGTTCTGTCGAAGACGGAAGCGAATCGTCCCAATCAATGTTATCGAGCCAAATGCGTTGCATGATTATTTTTGCCAAAACTATTATAGGCCCTAACTTCCCGTTTAGTGTATTTGGACCGTAATTCCAGTTGCTTTACACTGAAATAGAACTGGTCCAGCTGGGCATTCCAAAGAATACCTAGTGGTTTGGAACTACTCGCTTCCACGAAAGTTAGAAGTTTGGCATCGTAAAGGTGTTCAGACGGAATACCTTGTAAAATGTGGCGATCATTGGCGGTCCATTTCCTTAATTCGAATTGGGCGGAAGAAAGAGCACTGACTAGTTGGTCTCTTGACTGTTGCGCTGTCTCTATATCGTGATAACCGGCTAAAACGTCATCTACGTACATGCACTTTCGAAAACTATGTGCCGCTAAAGGAAAATCATTCTCTGTATCCTCGGCTAATTGAAGCAAAGTCCGTATCGCAAGATATGGAGCACAGTTTACTTCGAAGGTAACGGTTTGCAGTTCGAAATCTTGAACCGATTTGTTGGGAATATCACGAAAGATTATTCATTGGAGTGGAGTCTGAGCAGGATCAACTGTAATTTGCCTGTACATTTGCGTTATGTCGCAATTAAAGACATATTTGAAGTGTCTCCATCTTAGAATAAGAAGGACTAAATCCAACTGAAGAGTTGGACCAACATAAAGTATGTCATTCAGACTATATCCATTGGAGGTCTTATTTGAGGCATTGAAAACCACCCTCAATTTTGTTGTTGGTGTCTCCGGATTTATAACCGGGTGTTGAGGTAGGTAGCAAACCGTAAAGTTTGCTGGAGAAGTTGAAACTATTTTCATGTGGTTTAATGTTAAATATTCCCGAACCACCCCATCGTAAATTTCTTTAATGTGGTTTTCGTAACAGAGATGCCTCGTTACTGTGACGACGTGTTTTCACTTTGAAGCTGGGGTAGGTTCAGCGGGGGGCCAGAGTCGTCACAAGAATTTATTTGTTAGGACATAAAGAGAGAGAGAGAGCGAAGCAAAACGTTTTCTTAAAACGTTATAAATTTATTTCCGTAAATAACACTAAACACAATAATATCACGTTCAGAAACACGAAGAACACTAAATCACAGAGTACAGTCGAAATGTGAGTATGCGGGTAGCAGTGGTGGCAGCTTTGGCGCATCGGCAGCCCGATGAGTACGCAGGTGACGAATATTAGTGGCGGCGGCTTTGACGCAGCGGCAGCCCGATGATTACGTCAGTGGCGAGTAGTAGTGGCGGCAGCTTGGCACAGCGGCGGCCCGATGAATACGTCAGCGGCGAGTAGTAGTGGCGGCAGCTTGGCACAGCGGCGGCCCGATGAATATGTCAGCGGCGAGTAGTAGTGGCGGCTGCTTGGCACAGCGTCGGCCCGATGAATATGCGACGATGAATAGGGTGGCGGCCCGATGAATATGCGACGATGAATAGGGTGGCGGCGGCTTTGGCACAGCGGCAGCCCGATGAATACGCAGGTGACGACTAGTAGTGGCGGCAGCTTTGGCACAGCGGCGGCCCGATGAATATGCGATGATGAATAGGGTGGCGGCGGCTTTGGCACAGCGGCAGCCCGATGAATACGCAGGTGACGACTAGTAGTGGCGGCAGCTTTGGCACAGCGGCGGCCCGATGAATACGTCAGCGGCGAGTAGTAGTGGCGGCTGCTTGGCACAGCGGCGGCCCGATGAATACGCGACGACGAATAGGGTGGCGGTGGCTTGGCACAGCAGCAGCCTGATGAGTACGTCAGTCGCCGTCAACGCAGCCCGAAGAATAGGGAGTATTGCTACAACCCTCACTTGACCCTGCGTTCAGTCCGGTCTAGTCACCACAAATAGTCAAGGCTTATTGTTTGGCTTACTAAGACTCAATTCAACCGAGGTTGCGCGCCTTTTCTTCCTCCCAATCACACTTGACTTACCAGCCATCAACAGAATACTGATCTCGATTGTGTGAAATGAGTCTCCTTTTATACATTTTTGGCTGGTCATCTATTGTTGTTTTCTCATGACAGCAGCTGATCCCAATCTGACAGTTTTGCGTAGTTCCGCCATTTGCCACCAGGGGTTCCAACGTGGTATTTTAATGATAGCAATCTTCACTAGGGGACCGGTGTAACCGTTAATATTTAAATTAATTCTTCAAACAAAAATATTTCCTTGTTGATTTTCTATAAAAAGTAAATAAAAATTATATTGAAGATAATAATGTACCCCAAAAACGAAGAGCATGACTTTTGGGCGTTACATTACGCAAGAATTGAATTTGTTCTTGAATGACCAAGTTGTCCTGCACATTCTGGAATAATGGGAAGTGTGACAATATATCTGCCATCTGAGTCCCGACGAGTGGTTTGTTTTAAGTTTTCTTCACAGAATTTGTCAGAAGGAGACAGTATGGCGCGCTTTGGAGGTTCTTCCAATTGTTAAAACCGTAATATTGGGAGTGGGAATAGGACCAGTAATGATCCAGCCAAAAATTGTTTTTTGTGCCATTAATGAACCCAAAATGTTTGATTGAATTCCTTGTAAAAGAATTCTGGGATATAAATCAGCGCCAAGTAAGAGGTCAACAGATCTTGATTGGAAGAAGTTTTTATCAGCCAAAAGAATATTTGGCAAACTGGAAATTAAATCAACGCCGATTGAAAATGATGGTAGATTACCAGAAATAACGGGTACCACTAAAGCCTGTATTTCCATAAATACGGACGTATCGATTGGAGAACCTGCCTTATGTGAAGCTGTGGACATACTTTGGTTTATGCCAGATATCGTAGCCTGAGTTGAAGTGGTAGAAATACCTAAACGACGTTGTAAATTTTGAGTTATAAAGGATGCTTCAGAAGCTGGGTAAATTAGGGCACGAACGGGATATGTGATGCTTTAATGAATTATATGCACCATCGCTGTACAAAAAAAAAACATTTCTATTTTGCGAAACATGATACGCTAGCCTATTAACAGAGTGAGATATCCCTGACGAAGTCGATGGAATATCTGGATTTACATGATTGGATGGCGCAAAGGGTGGATTTGAAGTCGACTGCGACGACGACGTAAGCTGAGCGGAGTTTGCAGAATTGGACCCCTCACGATGGGAGTGATGTCGCTTGTTGCATTTACCACAGTTATAATTACTTATACATTTTTTGACCTCATGACCAACCGTAAGACAGTTAATACAACAATTGAAGCGCTTGAGAACTGAAAATCGACCATCTGTCGGTAATTTTTTAAATTCTGGAAAAAAACGCAAGGGATGAACCAGTTTAGGACAAAGAACACAAGATTTGAACGAAGAGGCATTGAATAAACCAGAAGGGATAGATTTTGTGAAATGTGAACGAACCTTCCTTTCAACTTTTTTTGAGGAATCTATACCGCGAATATCTCGAAGGCATGTAAGTGTTTGAATCCTTTCCGTAAGAAAATGATTCAAATCTTTCCAAGCCGACAATGCCGATTTGTCTTTGACCGTCTGTTCCCATAGTGAGGCGGTGTGCTTATGCAATCTTTGGATACATATAAAGACTAGTATGGGATCCCAGTCGCTCGTGGAAACGTCATAGATCGCCATAGCGGAAATACATCAATTTATTGCTCGTTGAATATTCTTCAAGCCAGTACTGGACTCATTGTCGAGAATTGGAAGATCAAAGAGCAATTTAAGTTGGTTGTTAACCAAGATTCGGACATTGTCTCTTTTAAAGCTTGCCAAGCTAAAGTGAAACTTTTGTGCGTCAAAGGAAACTTAGATATTATATCTTTAGCTTCACCACTAGTCTTTTTAAGTAAATAACACAACTTCTCGATATAACTGAGACGACTAGTGTTTATATAGACCGCAGAGAAAAGATCCCTTAATGTAGGCTAAGAAAGGAAATCGCCATCAAAGACGTCTATATCACAAGGTGGGAGATTTAGACTATGCATTACGTTGTCAGCTGAAACGAAAGCCTCAACTGACGTTCCAGGTCGGTACACCAGATAGATATAAAACATCTTCTAGGGCTTGAGCATTGACTTGAGGTGTGCTGGTCATAGTAGAACGATGTTCTTCTACTTCTCTGTCGTTCGAATTCGATTGAGCAACATTAGGTTGGGATACATTATTTAAATTCGAACGATTCGACTGGGAGGTATTATTTAAACATTGATTTGAATTATTTTGCGGTACTCGAAGTTAATCCAATTTTCTACTGATTAGAGCTATAACATTGAAATAAGACTGATATGCCACCTCATATTTATTGTTTGCAGATGTGAAGTCTTCTCTATCAGCATCGTCGGAAGTTTGTATATAAGTAAGACATTTGTCAAACATATCTTTGACTTTGGCCCATAATTCCCTAGCCTCAGCAGCCTGCACATCAAGGGAATATACATCTACATCATCTGCTCGAAATGAAGTGAAGTTAGCTTCAAATTTAACAAGAGCATCTGTGGCTCTGATAAAGTAATCTAGTGGAGTGAGTGGCATTTTGAATTAAATCAATTGATATAAATGAAATAAAATTGACGAATCTAAAAAGCAATCAACGACAATTTAGATAATTTGTTGATTTCTTAGCGAATATCAGCAAATATAGATATTTTAGCTGTGTATAGAAATATACACGCAATTTACTTTAAAAATCGGGCAAATTTAGTATTTTTACGTGTGTCAAATAAACACCACAAAATTATTTTGGAATAGAAATAATCTAAAAACAAACTAATTGCCGAAAAAATCAAACAAGAATATAGATGGCTCAAAATATATAGCCGACTGTAGGGTGCACGGACTGTAAGAGGCACACCACAAGTTAAAATATGAAATATTCGGTAATCAAATAAGAAAATATAATTCAAATAAATAAATCAAAAAATAAATATAATATCAAATTCAAAAAAAATGTATAATAATAACGAAAATTATTGGTCAAACCCACTTTAACCGAATGTAGGGTGTATTATTTATTAACCCGTTGAATTTCCAACGAAAAATAATTATATTCAATCGGCTAAGAAAATATATATTTTTCCAAAAAAAAAAAAAATTAATTTCAAATTTTTGTTGGAACAGACCTATTCCACTCTACACGTGGGTACTGATTACTTATGAATTAACCAACCACAGAGTATGCAGCACTGGTATGTGATTGTATTGTTGTTGTTATACTACCAAACAGTATGTGTGTAGTGTTTATTTTCCCTTTACTTTCTGTTACTGATCTCTCAATAACAAAACAGAACAACAATATAATCACTTCTTATATACTTTAAACAACACTTTTAAGTATGAATACGTGAATATCGTAACTAAGAGTGTGTTTGAATACAGTGTAATAATCGTGAAGAGAATTATTACACGATATAAGCAACCGACACTGATGAAATGAAACAATAACAAATCGTATTACCGACGGACACTTGCAGAATCGACCGTAGTTAAGCACTATATTTGTTTTTGTTAGGAATGAAATATATTTTTAAAGAGAAACATTCGCGCTATTTGCTCACTAAATGACGGTACGTACCTTTCAGTAATAAATAAATATTTATTAAATAAATATGTGATGTTGACCAGGTCATTGTTGGTATTTTCTTTTGAGTTTTCCCCTTGCGATGTTGACGAAGTGAAACCTTGTATAAATAGGGAAGAAGAAGAGCCAATTAGTATTTTTTGTTGCTGGAAACAAGAATATCGGCTCGAAGTGACCAAAATGATGCGTAGCAATGTAAATAAAAATAAATAAAACACAATAATTATAATTTTGAAATAAAAATTGGCGGTTTTATTTGTTATTAGTAGAAAAACTAATACTTATCTTGTATTTACAATGGTGTTGCTGGTGATGTTAATTGGACGAAGATCCGTAAAACAAGAAGCGAGTTTATTGAAAAAAAAACGAGAAGAAGCCTAGTTATCCCAAGAGCGGCAGCTGTTTTTACTCGTTATAATTTGTCATCCTTAACTTTGAACGAAAATTCAATGTTGGACAAAAGAGTACTATGACAAATTATAGAAATAGGGAAAAGGATCCCATGTCATACTCTATACTAAATTGAACTTGTACAACAATTGTTTTTGAAAATTCACAATTTTTGGATCAATACAAAAAGTGAACCAAACAACAAGGTGGACTGTTAGGGTGTTTGTTGTTATTGTTTATTTAGTAATGCAAATACTCTGAGGTTTAGAATAGAAGAATAACAACAGCAGCGAATCGTTTGGTTGGCGAATAATGCAACAAGAAATAAATGAAACGAAAAATAGGATTGTTCTCTGATTGTTAGAAGAAATGAGGGGAATAACAACGCGACAAATTTGTCTGGTTGGTGAGAATTAAAACAACAAATAAACCAATCGAACAAGATTTTGGGAGATGATGTATGTTGTTAGTGCAATATGCTAAATTTAATTCTCAGTTGTAGGCTTTATTAAAAACTGAAGACGAGTATCAAAAAACGAATATGTTTGGTTGGTGAGGGTAAATAACAACAAATAAACCAAACAAGAAATATGTGAAGTTGTGATGGAAATAATGTGTGTTGTTATTGCAATAGTATTTGACAAAGCTAAGTCGACGAGTGGTGGTAACAACACCGAATTTTTTTGTATGATCAACGCGACGTAGGGTAATCAGTACAAGGCGATAGACTGCTAATATTTTATATGGGAGAAAGTATGTATTAAAAAAGGAGTGTTAGTGTAAGTCGATTAAAACGACTTAAATTACACAATAAATGAGAACGGGTGATGTGAGTTGCTATGGTGAGATTAAAAATAAGCAATTTAGAGCAAACAAACAGCAACAACACAGATTTGTTCTCCAACGATCAACAATGCGTTATGTGATCACTACACTAGAAACAAATGTGGACTGTATTTTTGGTGAATAGGCGAACGATTGAAATCACAAGCGTAGGGATAATTGGAACCC